TAACACCGTCCTGGCCACTATGGATGTGGAAGCCCTCTACACCAACATTCCACACAAAGATGGACTACAAGCCGTCAAGAACACTATCCCCGATAATGTCACGGCTGACCTGGTGGCTGAACTTTGTGACTTTGTCCTTACCCATAACTATTTCACATTTGGGGACAATGTATACCTTCAGATCAGCGGCACTGCTATGGGTACCCGCATGGCCCCACAGTATGCCAACATTTTTATGGCTGATTTAGAACAACGCTTCCTCAGCTCTCGTCCCCTAACGCCCCTTACTCTACTTGCGCTATATTGATGACATCTTCATCATCTGGACCCATGGAAAAGAAGCCCTTGAGGAATTCCACCATGATTTCAACAATTTCCATCCCACCACCAACCTCAGCCTGGTCCAGTCCACACAAGAGATCCACTTCCTGGACACTACAGTGCTAATAAACAATGGCCACATAAACACCACCCTATAACGGAAACCTACTGACCGCTATTCCTACCTGCATGCCTCCAGCTTTCACCCTGACCACACCACACGATCCATCGTCTACAGCCAAGCTCTGCGATACAACCGCATTTGCTCCAACCCCTCAGACAGAGACAAACACCTACAAGATCTCTATCAAGCTTTCTTACAACTACAATACCCACCTGCAGAAGTAAAGAAACAGATTGATAGAGCCAGAAGAGTTCCCAGAAGTTACCTACTACAGGACAGGCCTAACAAAGAAAATAACAGAACGCCACTAGCGGTCACCTTCAGCCCCCAACTAAAACCCCTCCAACGCATTATTAAGGATCTACAACCTATCCTAAAGGATGACCCAACACTCTCACAAGTCTTGGGAGACAGGCCAGTCCTTGCCTACAGACAGCCCCGCAACCTGAAGCAAATACTCACCAACAACCACATACCACACAACAGAACCACTAACCCAGGAACTTATCCTTGCAACAAAGCCCGTTGCCAATTGTGCCCACATATCTATTCAGGGGACACCATCACAGGGCCTAATAACATCAGCCACACTATCAGAGGCTTGTTCACCTGCACATCCACCAATGTGATATATGCCATCATGTGCCAGCAATGCCCCTCTGCCATGTACATTGGTCAAACTGGACAGTCTCTACGTAAAAGAATAAATGGACACAAATCAGATGTCAAGAATTATAACATTCATAAACCAGTCGGAGAACACTTCAATCTCTCTGGTCACGCAATCACAGACATGAAGGTCGCTATCTTAAAACAAAAAAACTTCAAATCCAGACTCCAGCGAGAAACTGCTGAATTGGAATTCATTTGCAAATTGGATACTATTAATTTAGGCTTAAATAGAGACTGGGAGTGGCTAAGTCATTATGCAAGGTAGCCTGTTTCCTCTTGTTTTTTCCTACCCCCTCCCCCCCAGATGTTCTGGTTTAACTTGGATTTAAACTTGGAGAGTGGTCGGTTTAGATGAGCTATTACCAGCAGGAGAGTGAGTTTGTGTGTGTATGGGGGTGGGGGGGATGTGAGAAAACCTGGATCTATGCAGGAAATAGCCCGACTTGATTATGTAAAGAGTTGTCACTTTGGATGGGCTAGCACCAGCAGGAGAGTGAATTTGTGTGGGGGGGTGGAGGGTGAGAAAACCTGGATTTGTGCTGGAAATGGCCCACCTGTTGATCACTTTAGATAAGCTATTACCAGCAGGACAGTGGGGTGGGAGGAGGTATTGTTTCATATTCTCTGTGTGTATATAAAGTCTGCTGCAGTTTCCACGGTATAACATCTGATGAAGTGAGCTGTAGCTCACGAAAGCTCATGCTCAAATAAATTGGTTAGTCTCTAAGGTGCCACAAGTACTCCTTTTCTTTTTGCGAATACAGACTAACACGGCTGTTCCTCTGAAACCTGATATAAATATTGTACTTACATTTCAGTGTGTCATATATAGAGCTGTCTAAACAAGTCATTGTCTGAAATTTTAGCTTGCACTGACTTCACTAGGGCTTTTTATGTAGCTTGTTGTAAAACTAGGCTAACACAGAACAAAAAGATGGTCTCTGCCCCAAAGAGCTTGCTGTCCGATGGCTGGATCGTTCTTATTACGAATATGGTCGCACCCAGAGGCCCCAGCCAAGCTCTACGGCTTTGACTAGGTGTCTACCTGTCATAGGTTCTTATATGGCTCCCGTCGCTGTAGTATGTGAGTGCCTCTCGATCTTTAATGTATCCGTCGCCTTTCGAATGGGGGTTGGGCTAGATGACCTCCTGAGGTCCCTTCCAACCCTGATATTCTATGATTCTATGAATTCCCAGCCAGCCGGGGAGCTTGGAGTCAACGGATCTGTCCCAAAATGGGTTTCTTTGGAGTCTTTGGAGAATTTTCATCTTGTTGAGACTTTCTATACTAATCACCTTCAATGTGAATAGACCATCCTCCCTCTATGAGATCAGCATCATCACCGCTGCTTGACAGGTGGGGAAACTGAGGCGCAGAGTGTGTGTGGGGGGAGTAACTTGCCTTGGAGCATGCATCGAGTCAGCGTTCGATCCCAGGAGTGCTGACTGTCAGGCCTATCCTCAGACCACCCCTCTGTTTGCATGGAAGTCCTGACCACCCCTGCATCCCTCTCACTGCTTTGCAGTTTGCTGTCTGGGCCACCAGATGTTGCTGTTCAGCAGAGAGAAATATCTGCTGGGAACGCTGCCCCTTGCAAGCCGCCCTCCTTTGCTCCAAGCAAACCCGGATCATTGCGCTCCCCCTGCTCTCGCTGACCCCGCTCCAGCAGCGCTGCTCCCGATTTACACCAGTGTAAGGGGAGACTCAGAACCCAGAGTATCCTCAACTCAGAGCCTCACTGGTATTTAGGTGCCTGTCTTCCATTGACAGCAACCTCTGAGGATGTGGACCCCCGACCCACGCAGGCTGGAGGAAAAGCCCCGGCTTGCTCCCCTGTCATCCACCACCTTGTCCAGTCATTTTACATTCGTGCAAAGTGGGGAGGGGGAGCACACAGCTCCACCCGTCTGGCTTGGGAGCATTTACCACCCCCAGCACAAGGGCCCGAGCCTCACTGTCACCTGTTTTGTGCCCCCTTGATGTTGCCACTGGGGTGAAAAGGGGCCTCAGTGTAAACTCAAATCAGGTGCAGGGCAATGGAGAATTGGACCCACTTTGTCCTGGTGTGCAGGATTTTACAAGGTGCATCGGGCCCTCTGTGTTTTTCGGCCTGGCTTTGACCAGGCGTGGGAGCAATTCTGCTGGGTTTGAGAACAAGGGGATCCGAATGCTTCTGCCCCAGCGTAAAAAAAACCATTTCTTTGGGCAACAGGTCCAGCGTGGAAATGGACGGGGAAGCCAGGCAGTTCATTTTAGAGCCTAGTGATTGCATGGTTTCATCCACATAGCTGTTTCCTCCCCCCCCACCCCCCGCAAAGTATTAATACATACTCTGGATTAATTAATAAGTAAAAAGTGATTTTATTAAATACAGAAAGTAAGATTGAAGTGGTTCCAAGTAGTAAGAGACAGAACAAAGTGAATTACCAAGCAAAATAAAATATAACCCACAAGTCTATGTCTAGTATGGTAATAAAACTGAACACAGATAAAAACCTCACCAGTTCCAGCAAGCTTCCTTTTACAGACTAGTCTTCTTCTAGTCTGGGTCCAGCAATTGCTCACACTTCCTGTAGTTACTGTCCTTTGTTCCAGTTTCTTTGAGATATCTTTGGGGGTGGAGAGGCTCTCTCTTTAGCCAGCTGAAGACAAAATGGAGGGGGTCTCCCAGGGGTTTAAATAGACTTTCTCTTGTGGGTGGAGACCCCCTCCTCTCTCCTATGCAAAGTCCAGCTCCAAGATGGATTTTTGGAGTCACATGTCCATGCATGACTCAGATTTTTACAGGTAGCAGCCATGGGTCACATGCTACCTTGAATGTCCTCAAGTAGACTTCTGATGTGGATTGGAGCCTTCCAAGATTCATTGTCCTTTAAGTTTCAGAGGAACAGCCGTGTTAGTCTGTATTCGCAAAAAGAAAAGGAGTACTTGTGGCACCTTAGAGACTAACCAATTTATTTGAGCATGAGCTTTCTTGAGCTGATGAAGTGAGCTGTAGCTCACGAAAGCTCATGCTCAAATAAATTGGTTAGTCTCTAAGGTGCGACAAGTACTCCTTTTGTCCTTTAAGTGTTTCTTGACTGGGTACCTAATTTGCACATTCCTTTCTCCTGAAGCTGACCAAATGCTCTACTAAGGCTGCTTAGAAATCAAGCCAGTATTCATAACTACGAATACAAAAACGACACATGCATACAAATAGGATTAATATATTCAGTAGATCATAACCTCTACAGAGAGATGTTACATGGCATGCGTAGCATAAAACATATTCTAGTTATGTCATATATACATTCATAAGCATATTTCCATAAAGCCTTATGGGAGGCACCGTCACAGCGTTGATCATTGTAACGGTGGGGAGGTGTCTGCAGGTTTTGTATCTGTTGTTCTGGCCGGGAAGGTATGACGTCACCCACCCTGTCTCTCTAATATCCTGGGACCCATACGGCTATAACCACGCTGCCCAGTGACGATAAGACAGTTGTAGCCGTAGCTTTAACATGAGTGCGGGCGAAGGAAGCCCGAGGTTGCTCCCGAGTCTTTAGCTCGTGTGAAAGCTACGAACTGCCCTCGTCTTCATTCGGGTTTCACCACGTGGGAGCCGACCCACCCTGTTCCCTAGTGAGGACGCAGCCCCGGGGGGCTGGATCCTGACCACAGAGCTCTGTGTGATGGGTTCTGGTTTAACGTTTGTTTTGCAGCTTCTATTTCACACACGCTGGTTCCTTGCCAAGGGAAAAGTGGTGTGTGTGCGTGTTTTTTTTTTCTTCTTCTTTCTTCCTCCAAGCCCAGCGCCCTTACTAGTTTCCTTGTCAAAACTTCCTGAGTTGGTTCCCAGCCCCTTTCCTGCTCCCTCCCCCTCACACTTAATGGCCCCTCCCCGCCACAGCCTCCTCTGACCCACAGACTCAGTGCCCACCCTGCCCCGAGCAGGAGACCAGACCCAAACCCAAAAGAGGGCTCGTTGCTTCTTTTTTTCCTGGAGAGGGAAATAAACTCTCCCTTGCCAATTTTTTTATTCCCCCCGCCCCAAATTCTTTCAGCTGCTTCCCACGGCCCATCTGCTCCCTGCTAGAGGATTTCTTGGGAGGCTGCCGTGAGAGATACCTTGCCCAGGACAGAAGAAAGGTGAGTACGGTGGGGTTTACCCACAGCGGATTATTGGATGGCTACAGATCGGGGACTGTCAGGGCGCTGATCACTGGAATCCGAGCACCAAAAGCCGAGCCAGGTGTCCGAGTTACAGAGGTTGTTTACGAGAGATTTCAAGGGGCATTCTGGAGCAGCCTGCTTTGTACAGAGGGGCTTGGCCTCTAATGTTCGACCCCAGTTATCAGTTATTGGCGGGGGGCTCCTCGGAGCATCCAGGGTCCAGCGTCTAGGTAGCTCTGTCTTCCCAAGGGGTCTGAGGCTCGATTCCGGTCTCCGTGACGCCGGTGCAAATCTGTGGGGGGTGTCAAGAGTTGGGGCCAGATTCTGCTCTCAGTTAAATCGGTCCAAACATGGAGTAATTCTACGGGAAACAATGGACATCGGTTCAGATTCTGTTCTCCGTTACAGTGACGTGAATCCAAAGTAATGGGGCGGGGGGGGGGCGGTAGGGGGCAAAGGAGTCCAGCCCATGTTCTGCGGTCGGTGATCCCGGTGTAAATACAGAGTCACTCTGCTGGAGTCTGAATCGACACCATGCCAGGGAGGGCAGGATCGGCCCTGTGGTGCTGGAGCTGAGACCTGGCTGACAAGGGCTTGGCAGAGGCTGGTTTCTGTTCAGATGGACCCGGCGCGGGGGCCTGGAGCCAGGGCAGGTGGCTGGCATCTCTGCCGGGAAGGGGGGTCAGGCAAGTCGAGTCCAGCATGGCGTTCAAAGAGATGGACACCCCCATCCCACCCTGCACCAGCCAGCAGCAGGAAGATTTCCTCCTCCCTGACCTAAGTCCTGGAAACAGCTGGGCAAGCCCCCAACCCGGCCATGGTACCTGTTTCTGCGAGCGGCCTGTCTGGGGAGAGAGGGTTGGTGGGAGCGAGGGGGGGGGAGGGGTTGGAGCAGAGTGGGATGGGGGGTCGGGGTGGAGTGGAAGTTGAATGGGGCATGGCAGGGCGAGATGGGATGGGATGGGGGAATAAGCCATGGAATGGGGCAGGGACAGTGGGCTGGGCTGAGCTGGAGTACGGCGTGGGAGCTGGGCTGGATAGGTGTGGGGGGGATCTGAGGTAAAGACTAGGGGCTGGAGTAGGGTATGGGGGCTGGGCAGGCTGGCTGGGGTCGGTCTGGGGTAGATCTGGGATCTGGGGAAGGGTCTGGGGGCTGGAGTGGATCTGGGGCAGGTGCTGCAGGGATCTGGGGCCTGGGTGGATGTGGTAAAGAGTCTGGGGTGGATCTGAGGGTCTAGAGCGGATCTGGGGGCTGGGTGGATCTGGGGTAGGGGCTGGGGGCTGGGTGGACCTGAGGACTAAGTGGATTTGGAGCAGGGGCTGGGCTGGGATCAGGGCAGGGCAGGGATGGGGCAGGCCAGGTATGATCCCATCTAACCCCATCACAGCACAGGCTCCCCTTGTCCCGCCCTGAACAGCTTGGGTCCCGAGTTGGCCAGCTCCCAAGAGGGCTCTGGCTGGGGCTGTAGGGCCGGGTGTAGCCTCCCAGGGCCTGGCTGGGCCAGCGGTCTCCGGGCCAGCTTGCCATCCACTCAGCCCCGGGAGGAAGCACGTCAGTGCCGGTGACACTGCAGCGGAAACTGGAGGGGCAGAGATAGTGGCTCCTCTCCTTCCCAGGACAGAACGCCCTTAAAGGGACATCGTGAAGGGCTGGAGAGAGACACTGGGTCTCAGGACAGCCCCCTTCCCACCAAACCAGAAGGGACTTACACAAGGTCATAGAGAGAGTCAGCATGAGAAATGGGAACAGAACCCAGGAGTCCTGGCTCCTAGCCCTCCCTGCTCTAACCACTAGACCCCACTCCCCTCCTAGAGCTGGGGATAGAATCCAGGAGTCCTGGCTCCCAGCCCTCCCAGCTCTAACCACTAGATGCCATTCCTCTTCCAGGGCTGGACTAAAACCCCAGAGTCTGGACTCCCGGTTCCCTTCACTAACCACATCCCCCTCCTTCGCAAACGGTGACGTTTAACTTTGCGGGCCAGGGGACAGCCTGGTCCTTGTGGCATTTCACCCTGACCAAGGCAGTGTGATACCAAAGCGAAGGTGCCCTTGATGTGGTGAGGGGTGACATCCATGGCCCACGCTGCATGCAGAGGGAAAGGTCACCATAGCTGTCATCCTGCCTCCTCCTGCAGAAGGGAATGTGCTGCGTCCCGGATGCTCAGCGGACGTGTCACCCCAGCAGGCTCCAGACACTCAACATCCACCCCTGTGCACTGGGAATAGGTCGGGCTGGGGGGTCCTGGCATAGCGCGTCCCCTCCCGGGATCTCAAAGCATTTTATTTATGAGCTAATCCTTCAAACCTGCTCGGGAGGTGCAGGTGTCACTGTTACCCCCATTTTACAGATGGGAAAACTGAGGCACAGCACAGGGAGGTGATTTTGCCCAGAGAGTCAGTGGCAGAACAGAACTCAGGAGTCCTGGCTCTCAGCCCTCTGCTCTCATTGCTCGATTAAACTCCTTCCCAGAGCCGGGAATGGAATCTAGGAGCCCTGCTGCCCAGTCGCCTGCTCTCACCATTAGACCACACTTCCTCCAATAGCTGGGAGCAGAACCCAGGAGCAGTGACTCCCCATTTCCTGCTCAAGGCTCGGAGATGGGCTGGTGGTTAGAGCGGATGACCGAGATGGGCGGTCTGGGTTCTACATGACTTTGGGAAGGGAGTGTGGTCTAATGGTTAGAGCAGGGGACTTGCGAGTCAGGACTCCTGGGTTCTATTCCCAGCTCTGCTCTTTGACCTTGAGCCAGTCACTTCCCTGTCTCTGTGCCTCAGTTTCCCCATCAGAGCAGAACTGACCCCCCCCCTTCCCACCAAGGGGATCATGTTGAGGCTTTAATAATCACTCCCCACCCAGAACTGGAAATAAAACCCAGGAGTCCTGATACCCTCCCTCCCCACGCTGTGACCACTAGACACCTCTCCCCTCCCAAAGCCATCTATAGAACCCAGGCGTCCTGACTCCCAGGCCCCTGCGCTCAGCCCGCCTTTGGGGTAGCTGAGATGCAGCAGTGATGCGAGCTAACCTCCCCCTGCCGCACCAGCGGGCCGGAGCCGTGACACCACCTGGAGCGTCCTTCTCCCAACCCCCTTGCTCTAACCATTAGAATCATAGAATCATAGAATATAAGGGTTGGAAGGGACCCCAGAAGGTCATCTAGTCCAACCCCCTGCTCGAAGCAGGACCAATTCCCAGTTAAATCATCCCAGCCAGGGCTTTGTCAAGCCTGACCTTAAAAACCTCTAAGGAAGGAGATTCTACCACCTCCCTAGGTAACGCATTCCAGTGTTTCACCACCCTCTTAGTGAAAAAGTTTTTCCTAATATCCAATCTAAACCTCCCCCACCGCTCTGCCCCGTGACTCGGCCTGCCCGGATGTCAGCGAGAGGGGTGGCAGCACAGGGGCTGGGGGGGAGGGTGCAGACCCCGCCGGGCAGGCGTGTGACTGCTCTGCTGACTGGAGCGTGGCTTAAAATAGCTGCAGAGGCTTTGAACCCCTCTGTGGCCCGGCCTGGCCCCACATTGCCTCCAGGGCTGGAGCTGCCTCCTTCTCCCAGCTCTGGGAGGGGAGTCGGGTCCAGTGGCTGGAGCAGGGAGGGAGGGGCTGGGAGGCAGGACACCTGGGTTCTGTGCCCAGCTCTGGGAGGGGAGTCGGGTCCAGTGGCTGGAGCAGGGAAGGAGGGGCTGGGAGGCAGGACACCTGGGTTCTGTGCCCAGCTCTGGGAGGGGAGTCGGGTCCAGTGGCTGGAGCAGGGAGGGAGGGGCTGGGAGGCAGGACACCTGGGTTCTGTGCCCAGCTCTGGGAGGGGAGTCGGGTCCAGTGGCTGGAGCAGGGAGGGAGGGGCTGGGAGGCAGGACACCTGGGTTCTGTGCCCAGCTCTGGGAGGGGAGTGGGGTTCAGTGGCTGGAGCAGAGAGGGAGGGGCTGGGAGGCAGGACACCTGGGTTCTGTGCCCAGCTCTGGGAGGGGAGTCGGGTCCAGTGGCTGGAGCAAGGAGGGAGGGGCTGGGAGGCAGGACGCCTGGGTTCTGTGCCCAGCTCTGGGAGGGGAGTGGGGCCCAATGGCTAGAGCAGAAGGGGCCCTGGAATCCGGACTGAAGGAATGTTGTGCTAGGGCAGTGGACTCCGAGCAGGACGCCTGGGTTCTACACCCGGCTCTGGGGTGCAAAGTGAGCTGTGGACTTGGAGTGAGGCCCGGGCGGGGAGGGGGGAACGTGGCGCAGGGCCGGAGCGGGATGTGGCCGTCCGCACTCCTGCAATCTGCTCCTTGCCCTGGGGCTGATGCGTGCAACCTCGGCCACCTCGCTTCCCCACATGTGCTGGCCCCTAGAGTGGCCACCCTGCGGCTGCACCCACCTCCCTCCCGGGCAGGTTCCCTGTGGAGCGGCTGAGCCCCTCCTAGAGGCCTTGGGGGTCCGTCTCGCCTCCGGGCTCGGCTGCACGCTTCGCCTGCAATGGAGGAAGCAAGGTCAAGCGACGGGTGCCGACGCCCCGTGGTGGGGGAAATGAGCGAGGGGAGGGGCTGGGTGACTCACCGCGGCCTTCCCCGGCGTGTGCGGAGAGGTGCTGACATCACCCTGGACTCCCCCCGGAGGATTGCGGAGCGTTGTTCACCCCTCTCGGGAGACGAAGCGCACTAATGCTTATTCCGGTGCCTGTGACCCACATGGTCCATCCCCTCGGCCAGGGCTTTTCCTTCATCACACATTGTTATTACTGGCCCATCGTGTCTCTTCCATGACCAGATGCCTTGGGAGTTTGGGCAGGCAAGAACCTGATTAGGGAGATAGCTTCTATCCCCCTGCCCCTATTTGTGGAATATCTTGACTTTAGTAAGGCTTTCGATACTGTCTCTCTCATGACCTTATAAACAAGGTAGGGAAATACAACCTAGATGGAGCTACTGTAAGGTGGATGCATAACTGATTGGAAAATCGTTCCCAGAGAGTAGTTCTCAGTAGTTCACAGTCAGGTT